AAAAAAAAAAAAAAAAAAAAAAAAAAAAAAAAGGAAAGGGTTTTCAAAGAGTATCAATGAATGCCGGTCACTAATGTTCCTCTTTTAAAGGCCATTATAGTGTATGAAGAACTTTTTCTTTTTTGTCGTTTGTCACCTCATTTTAACGCTAAATAATTTCTGATAAAAACAGCAATAAAAATGAAGAGAAAAAAGATAGAAGTTCAAAAATACGATCAGATTTGATTTATCTAACAAATAAAATCTAAGATATATCCGTAATCGAACTGAGTAAACACAAAAAAAAAAAAAAAATTTTTTTTTATAATTATTTAAAAAAGGCAAAAATCATATTTTGATTTTATATTTTTTCCTTTTATTTGTTTTTAGTATATTTAATTGTTTTAATGAACCAATTAGCGGTCAAATGGAAATAAAAAAGAAGTGGAAAAAAATTTTTTTTTCTTTTTTGTTATCAGTTGTTTTTCAGCAAACGAGTCATTATCTTTTACATTCATTAAATTTAACTGCTGTAAATACATTGTTTTAGTTTAGTGAACTGAAACGATGCAATATTTGTTGAGCAAAATTTAGATTTGTTTGGGAGGCATTTGCATGAATCAGATTCTGCTTGGAATCTGCTCATACTTCAAACAAAAAAGCAATAGAAAAAAATTTATTTTCATCAATTTAATTGTTCAATAGCAAAAGTTATAGATAGGTTGTTCAGATAGCAAAAACGGTGTTGTAAAAATCCAAAATAGTTGATCAGTTTAACAAATATTTTCGTTTAGAGTTTAAAAAAATGAAAAGATTTAAATGAATAATTATTGATTTCTTTATTGGCTGCAAAAAAAAAAAACTTTATTCGAAATGACAACTATTTACGGCCAATTAGTTGTTCAATTTAAAAGATGTTAAAATTTTAACAGAAAAACTAGAAATGGCTGAAAAATTTGGCAGTTTTTTCTTCTTAATGAACCAATAAATTGCTATCAAAAAGAAGTTACTAGTATTCTAAGGAAAAAAACTTTTTTTTACAACTAACAATAATATTATGTTAAAATTTTACATCTAAAATACCAATTATCTGACAAATAGTTCTAAATAACTGTGATAACTTATTGTAATTGTTTGAGGACAAACTTATCTCAGAAGTAATAAATAAGCCAAAAATTTATGTACAACAACAAAAAATAT